TCTATTCACAAATTCCTCGCTCTCCCTCCAGGAGACTCTGGTTACACTTCCGGGGAGGATTTACTGATCATCCATAAAGGGTAGTGACTATCTCACAAACTAGTACTAAACTATTCACAAGGTTCTCATACGATATCAACATACAGAAGATTATGAAACGTAATACAGCGAATATAAATACATACAATGAAACTATCTGACAATACATTCAAATGGTACGGAGATAAACTAAATCAAACATAGTTTATCTAATAACTTTATATAGATATCAATACATGATAAAACGAACAGTAAAGAACCCCAAATTATTCCCATAATAATTTGATTAGTTTGATTATTTCCTTAACTAAAATACATTTAGTTGTAATTGATAAATCATTCCTTATGCTCAGCATAATACATAAGGAGTAAAAGAGTTTATAAGTTTGTCAGATATATTTGAAACATATCAATGTTATGATTTGAAAACAGTTATAGTTTGCTTGTATTCCCCCCCCTGAAAACATTGAAAAACACGGAAAAAGGCGTAGGGGTATGAACTCACCGGACGAGAAATGTGACGATTTGGATGCTAGGTGTTGGTCCGGGGCTTGCAAACACACGATGTTCCTAGGTATAATGTAAAGATACACATTTGTATCTAATTAGGACCTAGATTGATTACTTGATAAGGACAATTACTTCTAGTCGCGAAAACACCCCGATACATGTGTTTGGAGGGACCCGGGTGGCGTTTAAGGACATGTAATGATGCGAGGGACTTAGGAAATGAGTTTACTCCCCAAGAGTAAACTTCTAAATGGTGTTTACAGCCTAAACACCCATTCCCCATGAGTTTACGGCCGTAAACTCATGGTGGGTGGTTTATGGTGCAATTTGGACTTCAAACACTTAGGGGACAATTTCTAGATTTGGTTTAAGGGTTTGGAATAAATTTTAAACACCAAAATGACACATTTTAGGGAGTTTACGGCCTAGCATGGTCTCATGGCCTTAAACTCCTATAAACCCATGAAAAGTTGTGTTTTTGGATTCCAAACTAATCACATGTGATTGCTAAAATTGTTTCAAGGCCTTACATGCATTTGCTTGAAGTTTTGAAGAGGTTTTTGGAGTTTACGGCCATGGGACACATGCTATGGCCGTAAACTCTTAAATGAAAGGGTTTTGATGTGTTTAAGGCCCTTAAACTATTTTTGCTTGGTCCTATGATTTATTCCAAGGCTTTTGGTGGTGTTGGATGGCTTTCTAACACCTTAGAAATGAATTTGCACCATGTTTCATGGAGTTTACAGCCCAAGCACAAGCCTTGGCCGTAAACTCACAATAATCCCTCAAAAATTATGTTTCAAGTGTCCAAATGCTAATACCAATATTCTATAATTCATATCCAAGCCATATTAGTGATTTGTAAGGGTTTAAGGTCAAGAATACCCCATAAATATGAGTTTACGGCCCAAGCTTGTGCCTTGGTCGTAAACTCCTTCAAATCCATCCAAAAACCATGTTTTAAATGTTATAAGTCTTTTTCATGAAACCATTAAGCCATATCTAAGTCCATTTGTGTTTAGGAAGGGTTTTAGGGATTAAAAATCCCATTTACATGAGTTTACGGCCCAAGCTTGTGCCTTGGCCGTAAACTCCTTCAAATGTCTCAAAATCCAAGTTCAAAATGTTACAAGTCATTTCCATAATGCCATCTAGCCATATCTAAGGTCCAATAGTGTTTAGGAAGGGTTTTTGTGCTCCAAAACCCATGTTATATGAGTTTACGGCCTAGGATGGTTCTATGGCCGTAAACTCATGAATACGGTCCTAATTTATGCTTTGAACTTGAATTTGAAGGCTAAGAAGGTTACATAACAAGCTAGGGAAAGTACCTTAGAGATTTGAGGCCTTAAATTTGAGTTTTGGACCCTTAATCTTGGATTTAGGAGAGAGGTTAGAGAGAGAGTAGAGAGAGGAAGAAAAATCTTCAAATGAGTGCTTAAACACGTTTATATAGGTCCTAAAACTTGGATACGGTGGAATTCTACCCGATACTGGCATTAAACGAGGCTTTAAGTCGCACCCGATTAAGTTTCCGTCACCCGGCGGGGACGTTTCTAAAACTTATGAAATAAATATTTTGGGCTAGTTGCATGAGTTCCTGAGTGGTTTAGACACTCATTAAATTATAATAAACATATAAGTTTAAATAATTTAACCCAAAGTGAAAACGGAACGAATTTGATAACGGCGAATTTTTCGGGTAGAACGGGTTTTGGCGATGAACAACTTTGGGTTGTTACAAAATATATGTATAAAAATGTATATATTATTCAAAGATATCTTCAATTTCACTCCACCAAATGTTCCACCTTCTTTTTTCTATTTTATTTTCTCATATCTATATGCGGAAAACAATTCCTTGATAACATAAGAAGAATTATCCTTTGCATTCTGTCACACTGTCATTTAAACTTGACATTGATTATTAAGGCATCAATAAATTTTAATGCACATTCTTGAGTAGTTTGATTATCCGTATCAACCTTTGAAAGAGTTGTCTTCAGGAAGTTTAGACGATGCTGTATTTCTTTGATGTAGATGTTGAGTGGTGTGAGTTTTGTGACAACATGGTATGGCTTTGATAGTATTAGAGTAACTTCAATAAAAACATTCAATCTATCCAAGGAAGTTTACATAGATAACAACTATTTTCTTTGAAGTACAAATATTCCCTCCAAAGCTAAACCTTAACATACATATTTATTTGTTGTGAAGTATCATAATCTTTGAAAATTTTGGTATCATCCATTTTCATAACTTCTAGTACGTCCACCAATTCATTTATCATTATAAGAAATATGTTTTAATTAGCATAATTCCAAAAATATCTTCTATATATGTGGCTTCACATTTATGCCAAAATTTTATTTCCATTTACAACACGTTTCACCAAAATCTTTCACAATCTATAAAATGAACAAAACTTTTGATGAAGACATCAAAAGTTGTTTTAGTAACACCATACTTTGGTTTGGTAGTAGTGGGTTATGATGTGGAAGACGAGTTAGTCTTAGATTGTTGTTGTTGTTGTTGTTGTTGTTTTCATACCTCTATTTGACTTTCTTGTCAATCAAAATACTAAGCATAGATTTGCAAGGATGCTTATTGTATAAAGCACCACCCAAATTGATAAAAAAAACTTGAAAGTATTCGGAATAATTTTTTTGTGGATGGAAGTTTTGATGTCAAAAAGATCACTTAGGTGACATAGGATAAGGTCATTAATAATAGGAGGTAGATGGTGGTAGGGATATTGGGAGCCTTAACGCTTTTAACTTGGCTCTTTTGGATAAATGGTGGTAGGGATATAGTCCTGAGTCAGATGGGTTGTGAAAGGAGGCCATAAGGGCGTTATATGAGGCTGATGGATACATTGACATTACACATCATGTGACACATATAAGAACATTATGGAGTAAATTTCTCACCTTCATATCGAGGTGGGCAGGTATAGGTTCAATCGGAACAACCTTTTCCTTAAAGTTGTTAGGACTATAGAGCAATAAGTTGAATCTTGGCAGTAGGATTCATTTAAGGATGGATATATTACAGTCCCATCCTTTAGATGAATAATTAATGAAATCTCACTTGATAAAGCTTCAGTGATCACCTTATAGGATAAATTTGAGTCTAGGTTGGCTACCAACTAGATGTAATCTAGACATAAGGGGAGAGCGGGGGTCCATATTAGATGTAATATTTGACTCTTTGTCCCACTTGTAATAGTAAATAATAAAGTACTGAACATCTCTTCCTGGAATGGTCGTCGGGCAAGGAAATTAGAGTAATGATTAATGGCCAATGGAATTAGTTTCCTCTCAATGCTGCCTCCTTAATCGAGTGGTGCTATGGGACTACGCATGGATGGTTGAAGAAGAAAGAAAAAATGATGATAACAGTCATTACGAATGTGTATGTCGTTTCTTTAAAATCATAGGAATCATATTGTCTTTAACAACAAGGTGACTTGTATTATTTCTCTTGTTGTAGATGTGTAAACTTTGCTTTTTATTGGCTAAAATCTAGAACATGGGAGGGCTTCTGGTTAGTTTAGGAGGAATGGATTGTAGATACAGTGTCGGTTGTTTTGTAACATACCACTAGCTTTTCGCTAGCATTTCTTAAAATATTTCTTGTTGTTTTGATGAATAGATCCACAAATTCCCAAAAGGTGATTGAGAAGTGTTTTATTTCATGAAAATTTATTTTATAAATTTTAGACTTAATTTTGTATGAACTATAGTTATGTACCGTTTAGGGTGCGTTTGGTACAGAGAAATGGAATTGTTGCAGAGAATGGAAATGCAGAGAAAGAGAATTGACTCCCCTGTTTGGTAGAACTAAGAATTCACTAGAGAAATGTTTTTAAGAATCATTTCTCTTGTTGGGTTGTGTTAATCAATGAAATGAAAATGAGTTTTTTTACCTTGTTTATTCATTTTCAAACAACATTCTTTTATAAAAATGCATTATGATGTATATCTTAATTAATCAAAATATGCATCTTTTATGTTTTTAAAATTTTTTATTTTGATATTAATTGTTACTTAATAATTCATTTTGTAAATAATTAATATTATTTTTTATATATCTTGTATTGGAAAACATATTTCTAATATGAAAGAATAACATACAAATAGATTTTAAAGAAATATGACAATCATACTATTCAAAAACTATATCCAATGTAGCATATGCAAAAAATATAATTCAATATTCCTAACAACTAAAAAAACATAACTATGTCTAATACAGAATGTGCAAAGAGTCAACTTTAATATTCGTAAAAACAAAACAAACATAACTTAAAATAACCTAATCATGATATTGAGCCATCCAAAATCATTTCCATGTAACAAATCTTTTTTTCTTCTGTCATCTTAAAAAACGTTCGTGCGCAAAATTGATCTTTGCTAAACATATCAATCGCCTTAATTCGCTGTTTGACATTGATATTTAGCATGCATTATATATCTTTGATAACTTTATCTATCATATCACATGCTTCCTTATTTTCTTGCATTCCTATATTGTATATTGTTACATTAAGTTTTTCACCAACCTCCTTGAAAGTCTCTTTCATTTCTTTCATAGCTTCCCTATAAGAGCAATTGCCACGAGCAATTTGTTGTATCTATTCAATAATATCTTCAAACCTTTTCATATCAATATGTGAGCTTCTTTGTGTCTCTTCAGTCACATCTTCTTCAAGGTCAGTAGCTCCATGACCAGTAGCTTTGTCCTTACCGAAGATTTTACATAGGTTATCGAATTCAGGAAATGGTTTAACGCAAGAACATACAACACCTTTATGACTCTACAACAATGGCACAAAATTAATTGGTTACTATTCATTTACAATATGTTTTAATGACACAAAAAAATACTACAAACATAATCATTATAGTACCTTTATATACTCATCCCAAACTTCAGCATCGGCGGTAACATAGCATTTATCCGTATCCCAGCCAAATCCACTCATGTTTGTTCCGTATACCATGTCGTTCACGATGTTGAAATGGTTTTTCGATGTCTTCACTCCTCAATTTAATATGAGGCTCTGCTTTCAAACCCGAGTTAGGAAGACTTACATCTAGTAATTGTTGTACTGCCTTTAAATAACCGGGTTTGAATCTGTTATTGACACCACTATACTTTCCATATACATGTAACTCCAACAATGCTTCAATTAACTTTGCATCTTCTTCAATAGTCCATGTGTGTTTGTTTCGTCCAGCCATGCCTACAAAATATTTTTACAATCCTAACATTAAACATAATATTATCATACCATAATGAATACAAAATATTATAAAACAATCATAATAGCCCCTGTTTGAGGTTGTATAAGTCAACCAAAAGATAACCAATTAAACTATTGTTTGATGCTAAAACATAGACAAGCCAGAGGAGTGAAATCTGGAAAAAACATCGCATCATTCCAAGTTGGTATGAAGCTTTTATGATGGTTCAAAGTTTGACAATTTATAAAAAGTGCAAAATTATTATGCAACAATCATAATAGCCACTGTTTGGGGCTGTATAACTCAACCAAAACATAACCAATTAAGTTGTTGTTTGATGTTAAAACGTAGACAAGACAGAGGAGTGCAATCTGGAAAAAAAATTATATCATTCCGAGTTGCTATGAAGCTTTTATAATGGTTCAAAGTTTGACAAAAATTATAAAAAGTGAAGAATTATTATGCAACAATCATAACAGCCCCTGTTTGGGGTTGTATAACTCAACTAAAACATAACAAATTAAGTTGTTGTTTGATGCTTAAATGTAGACAAGACAGAGGAGTGCAATCTGGGAAAAAAAATTGCATCTTTCCGAGCTGGTATCAAGCTCTTATGATGGTTCAAATTGGAGGGAAAAAAAATCTGAAATTAGAAAAAAATTGCTTTTGTTCATTCAACTCAAGCATAAACAATGAACAAATAGCAATTGATCATCATTGAACACTTATCTACATGATTCAACCACCAAGATCGATTTCAACATAAGAATATTCAAGAAGCAATTCATAGCAAGATTAACATATTCTTGAATTAGAGTTCAAAATCAAAATTCATAACAAATTAACACAGAATCGACCAACAAGTAGAATCAGAAAGAAACATGAAGTACTCATACCTTCAACTAGAAGAGCATTGATGATGCCAAAATCGACCAAGAAAAGTGAAGCCATGACTTGGAAGTTTCCAATACAAAGAGGAACAAGGCATATGTAGGGCAAACGAGAATTCTTATGATCACTTACGTGGGTCGATTCCATGATATCCAGTAGCGATCGTTTAAAAAACTCAGAAATTGCATGGATCGTGGATCGAATCGGGGAGATGATGAATTCTCTTTTTTTTTTTTTTTTTTTTTTATGATTCTCTACCCACGCACGATATCGAGTAGCGATCATTTTCTCCCCTTTTCTCTTAGAGAATTATTTGGATGGAAAAAGAATTGGTTTATTTCGCAATTCCTTACTTTTTTTTATTAACCAAACAAGGAAAAATGAATTAAATCATTTTCTCTGCTTTTATTTCTCTGTACCAAACACCCCTTAGTGTTTTGTGTTTGTCTCTCTTTGAAAAAATTTATGGGTCTACTCCGGATTAAATCGAACTATTTCCTAGTTCTTTTACTACCTCCCTTGTTTCTTTTTGGGTTTTAGTTTTTTGATTACCCTTCAACATTTAAAAAAAAAAATTGGTAGCAAAAAAGAATAAAGGAAAGGTTTATATTAGATTTACTAATATACAAATCTAATTTGCTTTGTGGTTGATGTTATATATGCTCATTGTTAACATGTATTTCTGTTAAGTACATCCTCATACTTGTTTTAAGACCAACATGCATGGTGTACGCATATGTCAAAAATTAAATCTTGTACACTCTTCATAGCAATTAATTAGCGCATACATACATAGGCTCTGCTGTACATCTAATATCTTATACATATATTACCAAACCCTAACCCTAGTCTTGTTAAACAAATAAGGTGAAGAAAGATAGGGCCAAATAGTAATTCACCGCATGTACTTGATATTCTAATATATATCTTGTAAGTCTTTGAGATAAGGAGTAGCACATTGAATGAATCTTTAAATAAATCGACTGGTGTATGGAGTCATATAGCGTATGACAGTAGGGGGAATCTTTAGCGGTCCAAATGGCCCTTAAGATATTCATATTATCCTGACAGGTCAGTGGAATAGAAGCTTTGAAGGAATGGAATAGAAACTGCATTATTCGATACTTTGAATAATTAAGTTATTAATTAAAGGTTATTATAACTCAAGATTTCGACTGTGTGTGCATAGAATTTGGCAGCTAAATATATATAATTTTGAGCTTTTGCCGGTTTCCAAAGTCCACATTTACACATAACTCAAAAACCCCAAATGAAAGCTCATTAAACAACGCATTAAACACCTCTTCTTGGAATTTTGTTTGTCTTTATCTGCTCATGATTATATTTTAAGTAAATAACATTTATTACTTTCATGCATCGATATATTGAAATTAAATGAGAAATTTTAGTTATTAAGAAATAGTTAATAATAGAGATCGATCATGATCCCAACAAACCAAACTAATCCCTTGAGATTCATCAATTTGGAATTAATAAACTACCCCCAAAAAGGGTTGCATGGATAGATGCATTAAAGTTCGAAATATAAGAGTCTTTTTCTCCCAAAAGACCAAGAAATTAATAAGATTTTCATGGTTTTCAAAAAGATAGCTTGTTTAGTTTTCAAATTCAAAAATTTCTATTTTTGAGCTATAGCAATATGTACTTGTTATTGGTTTTTTTAACGACGAGCAAATATTATTAGCACAAAATAGAAAAAGAAACTTAATCGAGAAGCCTAATTCCGATTACAAGAAAAAACACAAGCTAGGAAAGATACACCCTATAGACCAATCAAATTTACATGATTGGACCTTATTTTTAATCCAATTGAACATGCTAAGCATTACTGTTCTCCTTTAGTTTCAATAGACTAGCGTAGTTGATGGCTTTCCAAAACACCCGAAGTGTGGAGTAAATAAGTGACATTTTCAAAATTTTGATATTTTTGTCACTTGTCTTTAGTTTAGGGTTTAGCGAATCACTAACTAAGATTTTCAAATGTTAGATTCTTTTATAGCTGGCTTTAGTTTTAGAATCTAGTTCTTTTTTTCATTAGAATGACCAACTCACATACGCATTTCATGTCACACGTAAGACTTAAATTCCCAATCTTTGGTTGAAGGATATCGATCTAAAAACTTTCTGATATTGTCACCTCCTCATACAGTTGGGCTAAATCCTTTTGACTCTATCTATTCTTAAATCAAGTTAATAGGATTCTCATTAATCACATGGTAAAAAGGAAATTGGTATTAATTAATACTGGTCCATCGAATTAATAACAAGAAATACTTTAGTTGATTATTCAAAAAACAACATATATTAATTTTATATAAATAGTTAAAATGTATTAATTAAATGGATAATATGGATAAAAGTTTTACCTTAATGGTTTTCCAAATTTATTAACTAATCTTTTTTCTTGAAGGAAAAATAGATAAACAATTCGATTATTGACTTAGTGAGAGTCTTTCTCGGTAGTTGTTTTTTCTTCTTTCTTTTACTTTTGAAAGCATTATGTTAAATAATATCTTTAGTTTCTCTCTCTAACGTACTATTTTTGGGGTTAATACAGCGAGATCCTTGCAAAAACCAGCTCTTCTTTAAGGTCACCTGAAAAAACGGCTGATCCTTCGGAGGCAGAACCCTATTGAGGAAGCATATCTTCCTCTTCAAATTAACTAAACTTACCATTCACTTTCATCTCCTTTCCTTCATGCTTCTTTCTCACTTAACCCTAGCTAGCTAAAACAAGAAAACCTAGTTTTCTCTTCATCTCGTCTGTTTTACTCCGATCACTTGTACGTACTTTTTTATGGTATCATTTAATGGGTTTTCTTTAGTTAAGTAGTTTGGTTAGATATCAGTTTTGTTTTTGGGTTTCCAGATCTAAGTAAAAAGCTAGCTGCTGTATATATTCTTTCTTTCTGTTTTTGAGTAAGAGTTAGAGCTAAAGTAGGTACGATAATGGAAGAGAGAAGTGAGAATGGTGATAAAATAGAGGAAATCATGTTGCCAGGTTTTCGGTTTCATCCCACCGACGAGGAGCTTGTTGGGTTTTACTTAAAGAGGAAGATACAACAAAGGCCACTCTCCATTGAACTCATCAAGCAATTAGATATCTATAAACATGATCCCTGGGATCTTCCAAGTATGATTCATATTCTTGTTTTTATCGCATGATTTCAAGATTTTCTTTTTTTGTGTTTTTGCAAGATTTGTACTCTCTTTTCTGCATGGAAGTTAACAAGCTTATGTCTTTATTTCTTTTAATCAACTTTAGAGTTGGCTATGACGGGAGAGAAAGAATGGTACTTCTACTGTCCGAGGGACAGGAAATATCGTAACAGTGCTCGGCCAAACCGTGTGACAGGAGCTGGATTCTGGAAAGCCACAGGTACAGACCGGCCGATCTATGCCTCTGAGGGTTCAAAATGTATCGGTTTGAAGAAGTCACTTGTGTTCTATAAAGGGAGAGCTGCAAAGGGTATTAAAACCGACTGGATGATGCATGAGTTCCGGTTGCCTTCCCTTACCGATCATACTGCCCCCAACAAACGTTTTCTTGAGAAAACTATTCCTGCCAATGTAAGTCCTTCATGTCCTCAAAGTAGATCGTATGTGCAATGTGTTATTAGCTTCTTAGAACATGGGAAAAAAAGTAGGCTAATAGATAATAAATAATCAGTAATTATTCTTCACCGACTATCTTGATAAAAACCTCGTGTACACTTGGATCAAGAAACCAACGGTAGGGTTGTATGCGAGACTCGCTCGGTGTTCCACTCTAAATGACTACTACATCGTGTATATTGAAATTTCAAATGAGCAACTTTTGTTTTAGACATCGGTCTAGGTGAAAAAAAAGTGTGACCTTTGTGTGCATCAAGGCTCAAGTTGGCTTCACGTAAACCAACTGAGAAGGAATTGTTCATGTATGAAATCCTTTTCTTGGACATTGTCACAAGATGGTTGTTGAGATTCGAACCCATGATACATTGTATAATGTAAAACGTTAGCTATATATATCTTCATATACGTCATTTAATTACTAAGCTAATTATTATCTGCGAAATATGCAGGACTCATGGGCAATCTGTAGAATATTCAAGAAAGCAAGCTCGACTGCACAAAGAACCCTCTCTCATTCATGGGTATCTCCAATCTTGCAAGAAACACCTTCTGACTGCAACATCCTAACTCAACATGGCATTTCTAGCAATGACTTACAACATTCATCGATCACTAACTTCTCTCCTAACCATACCGGAAGTAACAACATGTCTCTTTACAAACCCTTTAATATTAATCCAACACCCCCTACACTTACAACGACCACCAACAAACACCCACAAAATTCCATTTCTAGCGGTGAGCACCTAAATTATGCAACAAGTTATCCCTTTTTGTTTCAAGAACCTAATTACGGTTCTAAGTCATCAACAATCGATGCGTCATCTTTGCTAGTTAACATACCTAATCCGATATTTGGAGATTTTGATAAGCCAGAGGGTTTGGACTACATTACTAATGGGTTGCACCATGACCATCAACAATGTTACATAAATGGCGGTTGCTTCTCAATTACTACTTTACCCGTGGAAATGGAAGAAAACTCTATCCATGGTGTTCAAGATCAAGAAGGAAGGGGTGGTTTGATAATGATGAAGGGTGCCACTGAGAGTGTAATCAATACGCATTTCGAGGACCAATGGGGGAGATCATCTAGTGGGGGGTACCCTTTCATGAGTTTGCCACTGGGTTTGCAAGATGCATGGAAATCTAGTTTTCTGTGTGATTCTTCTAGTGAGATTTCAAGTGGTTTCTCTACTAGTAACAAGTGCTATATATAACCAATTAGTTAGTGACTAGTTGATCAAGGGTTTGACATATATAGAATAGAAGCACTTTTTAGCTTGTTCTATTTCTTCTTGTAGTTCAGATTTCTAAGTTTTGTTTTAATCAATTAATTATGTTCATGTACTCTAGGAAGTTTATCCAATATATAATAGTAGCGTTTGATACATACCTCAACTACAGCGATTGCTTCGTTAAGCAATATTAACATTTTCACTCTGTATATTTTTTGTTGGTTCATTCCAAGAATAATTATCTATGGGGACGACACCTATCCCGACGACAGA